CGCCCCGCTGGTTTGGCACCAACGATCACTTGGGTAGGTGACCAATTGCACAGCGGCACGTCTGTCAGCCTCAGCCCCAGCTCATACTCTCCTGACCCACAGAGCTTGGTCGACTCATCTCTTGGCTGCAATACCGAGCGGAAGTCAAGGTTCACGAGGAGAACGTAGTCTTGCGCAATTTAGAAGCCGATCAATCTCTTTCGGGCGCGACGCGCAGGGAGCGCAAACGTGACGTGCAAGCTCGTCAGATCTTGCGGACTGCGGAGTTGCAGTCTCTTGTCGCAAAGCTGACCGCGGTACGACAATACTACGTGAGTATTTGAAAGCTTCGCTGACTAGCCTGGATGCTGCTCTCTAATATCGGTTCAGCGACTTTGCAGCAATGGCAGTATGGCGATGTCTCGGAACCGGGGCCACGGACGAAGGAAGAGTTTGAGCGAGAGCAAGCTACCCTGATCTCTGCGCAGCAGCCCGAAGTGGCACAGGGCATGATCGAGCAAAATCAGGCTCAGACAAACGGCTCGACGTCGCCAGTCGTGGGACCATCTTTCGTCCGTACGACCATCGATCTGAAGCCTCCTGCGGTTGACAGATCTAGGAAGCGCGAGCAGTCATCTGCCGACTCGTTGTCGAGTGCGGCTGACACTGACGATCAAGGATTCGTGGTGGAGATCTGATTGTGATTCAGGTGTCCAAGCACTCGCCCATTGCATCATCGCAGTCACCATAGAAATACAATCGCACTCGCATCCGCTTGTTGCGTCCAGTCTGTACTACAGCAGAGGGTCATATTCGAATAGTGGTGCCGCATCGACAGCAAATGTTATCATTGCGTGTAGCGCATTCACCATCAACCATGCTCCTCGCTTGCGCCATCCATTAGCTTGCAAGATCCGAGTAGCGGTGGATCTTGACGTTGCGCACTCGCATATTCACGTTGCCGGGAGCTCTTTCACAGAATGCGCTTCGCCATCGACGCCACTACCGGTATCGCATACATTCGAATTGCTGACGAGCGATCCATGTAAAATAGATTTGAATTGTGCATGTGGATCAACGCATGGACCGCAGATGTGAGCGCTAGCACCGGGCCGCGATTCTGGTTCGCCGATCGTTCTAGCTACTCTGCAGTCACCTACGGTGTGAGTACGTGCGCTTGGATTTTGTAGCTTGTTGCGCATGAATCGATCATTTGTGGTTAGATTGTCTTTTGTTGTTTGTTGTTTGTTGATGTGAGGTAGCAGCAGTGGTACGGTCTCGGGTAGTGCAGCTCGATCGAGGCGCATCTGCCATCCACCCTCCCCTTTGTGCACCTTTGGTGACTGCGCACCAGAGAGCTAGCTATATTCCGTACATCGCTGCCGCTGCCTTTGCAAGCTTCGGCGGGTCGAGAGCACAGCTTTTGCGTGGATGTATGCGCGTGGGGCGACCTAAATTGGGTGAGTTTGTACGCAAATTGCTTTGCACCAGCTGGTCAGACCACGCCCGTTACATGTATCGTATCGTATCGTATATTCGTATAACGTCGCTACGTACATGTGTACATCAAGTAGTATCCAGCAGTCACACACTCGCGAATCGACGTCTGGCCAGGGGGGGAGCATACGGCAGCAGCAAGAGGGCGGCGAAACTTGAGGCTCCCCTGCGTGCTGACCGTTTCTTCACTCACGACTGGCGGTCCAGTGGACAGGGAAGCCCCTTGCAGATCGACAGGTCTGGAGAGGGGATTGATTCGCAGCCAGCAGTTTGAGTCGTGAGTGTGAGTGATGCATGAGCACACAACAGCAGACTTTCCCCATTGAGACACCTCATGCTGCAAGGCAATCCTGAATAACAAACGCTTCCCATCTGCCATGCTGTACCCGCCGTACCGCTTTACCGCACAATGACAAGGACGCCCCGTGGCTTGAGGTCTGCTGCTGCATGGTCGGACTGTCAGACTGTCATGCTGCTGTTGGTAGCTCAAGCCACGCGCAACCCGACTGCAAAGGGCCTCGTCGTGGCTGGCTCGACGCTCGACGCTCGCGACGAAGGACACTGGGGCTGCAGTCACTCTTTGCTGCTGCTGCTGCTGCTGCTGCTGCTGCCAGGCGAGCAGGCACTCAGTGACTGTGACTGCATGAATGGTAGTGGTGCTGTTTACGTAGCTGCAGCTGATATATGTAAGCTGTCAGGCGCGGTCGCAGATCAGCAACAAGGTTTGAGCGCGCGCGAAGCAATCGCCTGCAGCTACATATATATAACGGCTGCTGCATGCTCTGCACGTTCCTCCTTCACCCGGCTTTGCATTTGTCGAGCCTATCATCCGCGTGCTGCGTTTGCCCATGGATGCTGCTGGCGACATGTTGGGGCTATCACACTATGACTCACAGACTACAGCAAACGACTCTCGGCTGCTTATACGCTCAAGTGATTGTCTAAGCGGACAAGGGAAGCAATTTCCGACCGGTGTCGACTGCAATCGCTGCTGCTCAGCGGTCGGTACATTCGTGTGACACGGTGACGGTGCACACTCGTGATTGTGCGCGGGACTGGACGACGGGCCATGACTTGCTCTCGCACTAAAGAAGCGCTACTGCAGGGAGTCCCAAACGATTCCTCCTGCGAGGTGCACCACTCCATGATTTTGGTGCCGCCTCTTGCTGTTTGCTGCAGCACCTCGCTCAAGGTTTCAAGCGCCGATCACCTCCTTTCTCCGCGCGACCGCCACGCATCGATATCCGGGAACGTTTGGAGACAACGTTCGGGCATTCAAAACTTCAGCAGGTCGGTCATGGAATGCAGGCGCCTGACCAGTCTCTAACGCTGTCGTAGGTTCGACCGCTTCTTCCGCAACGCAGCTCTGCTCAGCGCCTGATCGATAAGTCGTCGATAACGCTTCCGCACCTCTTCGTTGTGAATTTTCCTGGCGCAGGCTCAGGCTCAGTCTCATCTTGCTTCGTGACAAGTTGCACCCGACGGCCGGCCCATCTAGGCCCGTCGAACAATTGTGAATGTTGTGAATCGTGAATGTTCAAGTCGACTTAAAGGCCAAAAGGCCTTGCCTCTCAGCCAGAACCTTCCACGAACCTCATCTTCTCCCTCGCCCATTCCTGACAGGCCCACTTGTTGCGCAATCCAGCACTTGCTCGACCATGGTCGCAACTGTACATCCGGCCTTGCCGGATTCTCCCTCTCCATCAGATTTGAAGACCTTCGGCAGGCGCTCACGCCGTTTCGTTTGGGCCAAAGTCTCGGGAGGAAAGACCGACATTGTTCGGTCTGAGCCGTCGAAAGGCGATCAAACCATCCTGCACGAGATCTTCTCCGCTTCAGACGCGCCAGCCCAGATCGAGCGACACCGTCGGCAGCGAAGCTCTACTGTCAGCGCAGCTGGAGGCCCCGTTGTACCCGCTTCCCTCGATGAAGAAGCCCGCCTCGCAGCGCTTCACAAGCCGAGCGGCTTAGCCAAGCGACACGGTCGTAGTCGGTCGATCTTCTTCAGAAAGAATCCCACCAGCAAAGCTGGCTCGGCTACCGCGGAGTCGAGTGCGCCTTCGGGCCGTTCAAGGTGCGCCACTGAGCAGGCTCAATCGGATATGGAAGATGCAATCTCCTTTGGCAGTCTAGCGTCACCGAGATCGGCATCTGTCACCAAAGCGCTACGAGACCTCGAGCAAGTGTCTGACTTCGTTTGCCAGTGCGCGGCTGATGTCACGCCGCCAGGCAATCACCACCTTGAACGTCACCTGCACAGAGCAGCCGAAAGGGCGCGACCCGTCTCCATGACGCAGAGCATCGGACGGACGAGTTTCAGCACGTTGGAGGAGAGCTCTGCCTGCTCCTCACCAGTCTCTTCGTATGCACACGATTTGCCGATCGTGCAGGGAGTCTTGCTACCCAGCAGCATGTCAAGGCCATCTCGCAGGAGCAGCGCGCATCCCTCGAGTCGGATATGCAGAGATGGGACGATGAGCCCCACCAGTGGGTCGCATCACTCGCATCTTGACTACGGCAGGGAGACGATGAGCATCCTGGAAGCGGGCACCGCACCTCTGGGCCACGGATCGCTCGTTGCGCCCACCCCACTGCCCCCTCGTCGACCTCAGCGCTGCGCGCGAAACAGGACTCAAAGCGCAGGTGCAGCCTCGGCGCCCAGCGTTTCGTCTGCAGGCTTCTTGGCAGATC